TTCCTGATGGTGGCTAATTTTGCCACCATTTAGTACAGTGACACCCAACAAGAAAAAGAGCTGCTACATAGGTAAATGCTGGAATTTAAATCTAGTGAGCATGTTACCAAGGTCCATGGAAGTATTTAATGTCCACAATTCTCACTGATTTAACAGATTTCATTAATCTCCTCTCTTCGTGTTACTCTCGTTTCATGTTTTATTTTCCATTCCTTTAATCTTTCCCAGAAGCTACTGACATGCAACAGGACAAAGTTAGGACTGTGTTAAGAATGTGGCATTTGCCATGACTTTAAGATCTTTGAGAACGGGAAAACATGATATATGCAAACTTGACACATTGCAGCATCACAATAATGAAGAGTTTTGCCTCACTATTTTAACTAGTTGTCCTTATTTTTCCAGAAGTCAGTTTCAAAATGTAGGAAGTTTTTGGAGTGAGCAGATGAAGGAGTAAGACTGACCCCGGTGTGAACAATTTTATTCTTCCAATAGTTCCAAACTGATAATCTTGAGTGATAAGGAGTTGGTGCTGCAATTCTGCAACTGTTTAAGATGATCAAAGGCCACACTGCTGAGACCCTCCCTCCTTACATGTTGGCTCTGGCTTCTGTCTGATCCTGGGTGAGCTAGATCAGGGGAAGACTGCTGGGAAATCCATCCCCTCTTTTACTCAGTTTTCTGAATGGATTCACAGTGGGATCACAGAGGTGAGGGAAGGAGCCTGGTGACTCTGACCTAAAATGGCTTAAAAAGTCATAGAACCTCACTCGCTGAACTGCTGATTGCTGAAAGCTGCCTTCATCCATTAAAAAGTAGCAAGGAGAAAGAGAAGCTAGTGGTGGGATAGGTTTGAGGAATTGGAGTAGTACAAGGATAGAATAATACAGCACTGCACATGCTGCTGTCTGTGCCTGGATTTCCTCCTAACACTTCCTTTATGAAGAATTATGGGTTGGACTCGTACGGTACATTTCAGGATAGTAAAGTGATACTTAAAACAAGTAATAATATATTACAGTTACAGACCATAACAGGAAAATAACACAAGCCTGTGTAAATCAAAGAGTACACTTGGAAACTTGTCTGTGGGGCTGAGATCAGTGAGCAGGTGTGGGGGGTGTTTCTTAGCCTTTCCCCAATCCTATGAAGGGACAGGCAGAGAAAGAACTGTGCGTGGAAAACAGCAAACCTTTGTAAAAACGAGGACTGTCAAAAAAGATTTAAAACCAGCAGTTCCAATTCTTATCAACAACAGAAGCAGTCACTGTCTGTCAGTTTTATAGCACCTGTGAGTAGTGACTGATGTTAGAGCTTTCTCAGCTGGTACCTCTGGTAGCTGTATCAGAAGAATTGTAGATGGATAGGACCACAGATGCTCAAGTTTTCTTTTGCTGTAGGAGTTACTTTGGGAGGGCATCTTAAGAATAGTTTATACTACTGTAACTATGCTTTATTTTGCCTGTGGATTGATGGATTTCAGTCTGAAAAAGAACTAACCCAGCACTTTATCTGCATATGTTTGTTCTATATGTAAAGAAAAAACAAATTGTAATTGCTTGTTTCATATGTGATTATTTCCTAAAGTGAAGTTGAGATTTAAAGGTGTACTTCTGTTGTTTACTGCACTATTTTTTCTAAATTCTTTATTACAGGGGGAAGAGTAGTAAATCTAGTGTCTTTTGTTTGTTTTCAGTTGGGCCCAAAGGACGTGTTATAAGTTATGAAATCAGAGATGATCATCATAATTTAGCTAAGAAGAATTACAGGCACTGGCGTGCTGCATGGGAAATAGGACATATGGAAGAGTGGCCAGATAACGTGGATTTCATTCTTAAAGACATTTCAACAGCTGCTGCAGATATGAAATCTGTAACAGTTGACGCAGTAAGTCCAGAGAATCCCCCCATTTGACACTGATCTTTTCTGCATAAATTAAAACCTCTGGTGCTCACACTCACAATGGGATTCCCATGTCTAGTTTAACATGAGAAAAAACAATCAATCAATGAAAGAAACATCGCGATTTTTTTTTGTCAGATTACAAGTATTTTCAAGGTTTCAGTTAACAGTTTCCCAAATGAAAGAGCGATATGGCTGTAGTACAGAAATACAATTAATCACTGCTGTCTTATAAGCAAAGACAAACTTACTGTCTTGTATTTTGGAGAAATGGATATTTTTGTATCTGACTAAGGCATATATTTCAAACATTAAATTTAAGAAAAATATATAAGCTTATAGAAAATATGAATATGTAAACACTTTGCTATCAGCTATATAGAACGCACAATGTGACCAAGGCCTAAGTGAAAGTAAGGAATGCTACTGCTTGCTCTCCTGTCCCACTTTTTATATCTAGATTTTGTAAAGAGAGGCATGCTGGCAAAAACAGCTAGATGTTAACCACTCTTCCATGTGAAGCAGACAAACTACTTAAATTAACACTTTAAACAAATGACAATTGTGTTAAACAGTTTGAGCAAAGAAATAAAATATATAGCATAAAAATACCGTTTTAAAAACTTGAAATGTAACGGTTCACAGGAAGGATCAGGTATTGCATATCACATTGTTTTACAGTTTGAATAGTTTTCTAGCAGAAGATGGATAAATTACCAATGACAGAAGTTTTCCAAATCTTGAAACAAACAGCAAGTTAGACATTGAGACTGTAGTGTGATCTTTTCATGATAAAGATGCACTTGAAAATTTTTTTTAATTTTTTTTTTACATTTGAAAACTAGATATCCAAAGATGTTAGTAAATGTAGTCTTCTAAAAGTTTTTATTAATGTCAACATTATGGAATTTAATTAGTAGGAGGTTTAACGTTAGCACAGGACTACTGTGTTGGTGAAACGTTACTTGCTGTTTTAACAGAAATTTATTTGGAAGTAGCAAGGACTTTGTTTTGTACATGTGTAGACCTCCGGTTTCTCTATGGCTTTGAGAGGCAGTAATAAAATTGGTTTGGGATTACATACTGTTGTTGTATGCATTTTCCATAGGTAAAGATGTTTTTTTCAAGCATTGTTGTTGTGGAAAAAAATTGATAGATACATATTAATATTTACTGGGAAAACATAGGTATCTGTCTCTTGCAGATAGTTCTGGATATGCTTAACCCTCAGTCTGCTCTGCCTGTTGTACACCCAAGTCTGAAACAGGGTGGTGTGTGCGCTGTGTATTTAGCAAAGTAAGTATTTACTTCTGGCACTTAACATTTATTCAGGCATCACCTAATATTGTTACAAAACCAAACATCTTTTAAAATATATATCCAGCATTAATGAAATGTTTAACGAAATTATTTTTTTTGTCACCCTGTGTAATTTTTTTTAGGGAGTTGCACTCAGTATAAATTACACTTGGTCAGATCCTTTGGCCTTTACTTTGGGAATGTTCTCGTTATGATCAGTGGAAGTCTTCGCTTAATGACATCCTCAAAATAACTGTACTGTTTTCCAATTCCGTAGTCGGGTTGCTAGCTCCCTTACCCTAAAATTGAAGGACTTGTGTAACCTCAAAGGTAAAGAATGTGACAAAGCCAGTAGAATTGAGACTAACGGTGTATGATTTGAGTTTTCAAAATACTACTTTATCCTTTGCATTTCTTCAAAAGCATCACGCAGGTTATTGACCTTTTAGACACAATACGGACCTGCAAGCTCCCTTTTTTGTGTGAAAGGATCATTGAGGTAACATATAGAAATTGGTTGGTACTCCCTGCTAAAATCAAGAATTGTAAATCAAGCCAAATGGTGGAAACTCAAGAAAATATTGAAGAACCACCTCAAAAGGAGTACGAAGAAATCCACATTCAGGATCAAGCAGTTCTTAAAGAAAGTGAATACAATGGTAAGAACATAATTGCTGATGAAATAGCCTGTTATTGCAATTTGATAATCCAAGGATATAATGAAGGCAAAGCTTGTAGGAACAGGCAATATTTTTTTCTTAGGTCAGCTGAGATTGTTGTAAAGAATAGACAAGCTTTTGGACAGCCCAGACCTTTTCAGGTCTGAAAAAGGATATATGAATCGTTATTTAAGTTTAAATATCTTATTAAAAATCTCAATAGAAAATAAATTGCAATCTGCAAATAAAGAATGACTGCCCTTCTACTACTGTTTTTAAATTTTTATTTTTTAATAAAATTCAGTCCTCTATACTCGTCCTGTAGCTGCTTTAGAGGACCCTGATGGTCTTAAGCATTCCATAGAAGAGACAGTACCAGCGTGCTCTGTTTTGTAATCATGCTGTTCTGGCAAATCCAAAAAAGATGCCTCATACTAGTACAGATTTGCAAAATCCATAGTAGAGCAAAGAGGTCTGAATGTACTGATAGGTGACAAAAAAGCACTTTAACAGAAGCAAAAAGAAAATGAAAATAACATCAGGGGAAAAAAATCCATGCGCATTGGCAACTCTAGTCTGTGTGTATGTTTTAAACTTGTTAGAAAGAATTAAAAAAATTTACTTCTCACAGAATCCCTTTCTGATGATGCTGAAACAAACTGCTCCATGCCTTACGTTGCTAGACCATCTTATTCGCAGGATGGTCATTCAGGTGAGACACTGGGAAAATGTTTTTTTATCTTAAATGGTTAGTGGCATTTTGTTTTCAAAAATAATTTTTTTTTTGTACTAGTATTTGACACGTTACTATATCATGAAATCATAAAACTTATAATAATAAAATAATCCTTGTATATTGAAATACTGAAGTAGTAACTTGTTTTGTTTTTTAATTAGCATTCCTTACCAAGCTGAGAAAGTTTCGACCCCTGCTTTCTTGATGCTGCCGAGATGTTAGTTGCTAACTTGAGTATTGTATCGGAATAAAATAAAATGTTGCAAAGTAGCTGCTACATTTTGCAAGTTGTGTAACTTTTAAGTAATGAGTGCTTTGATTTCTACTTCCTATAAAGTTTGAAATCCCGCCTACTATTTAAAGGGAAAAGTTTTAACAGAATCATCAGGTATGGTGGCATGATGCAACACATTGTTCCGCAAAGGACAATATCTCTTTCTATCTCATTGGGTGTATTTCATTCTTCATAAACCAATCCATGGATTTGTCTTGGTTCAAGGTGCTACCTGGTCTCCTTTTGCTGGACAGGCTCTGACAGTCTACCAGAAATCAGGAGGAAAAAAAACTAGTAAGAAAATAATGGATCAGAGTCTGCCCTTTGAAATGCAAGTGAAGCAGCTTCTGACTTCACTGACTACCAAATGGTGGCTTTCAGTTTCTTTAAGAGCAATGTTCATATAGCAGAACTGTAAGAGAAACTGAAATTCACTGAATTTGTTCTCTTGATAAAGCTGTGCTTGCTTCAAGAAAAAGAGCAGTTGTTGACAAGTATAGCTTTGGTTCAGTTCCCACACCCATGCTGAAGGTTGCCTGGTTATTTGTGAACTTCATATAAAGCATTCTCAAATGGTCAAAATAAACACAATTTTTTCTGACCTTTTGTCAAATATGAAAAGCGAGATCTCTCAAGTAAAAATAGATCTAAAATTCAGTCTTTTAGGGTCTAACGTAAGTCTCCACATAAGCACGTAGTGATGTTTAACACATTAAATTTATTAAATGACATGTTGCAGCCACCTGACTTGTTCTGTATCTCAAGGAAGATTCAAATGCCATGTTTTTCAAGGTTGAGGAATCCCTTGAGAATCACAGTTGTACTGAAGCTGTCAAAAGCAGTAACACAATCCTACTATAATAGTGAAAATTTGGATATGAGAACATAATGCAAATAAAAAAATAAAGCTATAAATAACTGTAAACCTGTATTAAATAAGTATGCTAAGAACTCTACAGTGGTTAAGCACGTGAAAGTATCTTTGCAGAACTGAGGCCTTATACAGCTCCACCAGAAAGTTTACATCTCAAGCATGTTCCACTCGTAAAAGTAAATTAAACGAGCGTTTGCCCCATAACTGCTGTGTGTAATGGAGGCTTCTCATACAAAGGCTCAGGATGCTATTTTGAATAGATTAATGTCTAAAGATTCAATTACATAAAACAATTTTCACAATAAATTCTTTTATGGTTTTCTATGCCTACTCCAATCTTGAAATCTTGTATAAACTCTATCAACAATTGAGATACACTTAAAGGAAAATGTGAATTGTGATTTAACGTATGTCCAAACTGATGACAGCAACTGAGCAGCCTGCCCTTTCTAAAAACAGTGCTCTCAACAAGAGCACTTCAACTCGCATAACACACACTCTTTTAACTCATGTGAACACACCAATATTTTTACTGTTTCCTCTAGCCAATCCTATTGGATTCAAAATAGGATTCTCACTTTCATTTATAATGCAAGAATAGTACTAAATGCCTAAATAAACTGGAACGCAACCCAAAATCTACCGTAATAGGTGAAGGTAATTTGAAGAGACTCAGAATATAAAGCAGTTGGTACTTGCAGGAAGTCAAGAGACAAGATGTGAAAATGCAAGTGAAACTATGGCAGTAAAAGCACAGTTCTGCCAAGGTAACTGCATTTGTAATAGGCCTGTGTGCTCACACAGAGAGATCCTGTCTTGTCATACCAAGAAGGACACAGTAGTCCCTACAGTAGTCTGAAGGGCAAATATGGCCTCAGTTGCCTAAACTAACTGAAAATTAATTGCAATATTAAACCATACCTTGGGCATAAGAAAAAGGAGAGTCAACGAGCATTTTCTCATCTGGAAAGTTGTCCTTCAAATTCTGGGATGAATGTAATTCTGTCATCTCCAAAGTGCCAGTAGATGAGGAGGAAGATGATGATAATCCTAGTCGTACAAATCTTCCCTTCTTACCACAAAGCAGGCAGTCTGTAGGAGTAGCACTAGGTCCACGGGGCAGCTGTACTTGATCATCGTAGTTTCTCACAGCTCCGCTGTGGTGTATAGAACGTTCTCGCTGCCATACGTAATGCGTTGGAGCAATAGCCATCACCTATTGGAACAGCCATTACATCAGAAACAGTAAAAATAACAGGAAAGCATAGAGCTGAAAACAAGGGATCCAATTCATGTATGGCAGAGAATTAATACTATGTAGCTGAAATGTGTATCATCTATTATCTATCTACTTCTGTCTCACTAGAAAGTTTGCTACCTTAGGCACAAGTAAGTGAACCAGTTATGAATCAGATATGGAAACACAACAATTTACAGCCTTGTATATTCATGTGAACCATCACAAATACCAGCTTATGCTTTGTATGTTGGACTGAAAATGGTGTCTTTTACTAACTGCTAAACACCAACTAGATGGATCTTCTGGTTCACAATGTCGCTGAACTGATGACTGTTGAAAGCTGGGAGGGTGTGCCAGGAAAAGCATTCTGCACTTGCCTTGTTCCTTGTACTTTTCCCATAAGCACCCAATCCCATCCCCAGAGATTGAATTCTAGAGTAAGTGAGATTTTCTTTTCCACCAGCTGTAGTAAACATTATGTTCTTAGAACATGACAGGGCTTTTCCAGACAGATACATTCACCATGAAAAGTGAGGAATGTCTTTTTTCCCTCCTAGTATGTTTGTAAAATGTAGGTTGTAACACTGCATTAATAGTAGAGAATGTTAAAAGTGTGTCCTGAGTTTTTTTTTTTTTTAAATGCAGTGAAAAACCTTTACCTTAAAAAGTCAACTGAAGTTGTATTATTAATTTTGAGGGGATTAAAACTTCACCTGAGGTGCTGGGATCTTTATTTGAAAGTTCTACTTGTGTACAAACTTATAATTTGTAGAGCAAATGCACACATACAAAATTATTTCTAAAGTGAATGAAGTGAAACAACTGATGGTAAATTTTAAGTAAAAATACTTGCATAAAGCAGAAAGATTCTAGTCAATAAAAACTTCACTTTTAACACTAATGCAATGTAAATTATTCTAGTTTACCTTAAAAGCACAGTTTCAGAGAATGTATTTTAAATGCAGAAGAAAAAAATTTTCATGGAGGATAAATGGACCATTACATTTTAGTTGCACCTTTTCTTTCCTGTGGCTTGTCTACACACTTTAGAGAAGAAATTATTTGTATAGAGCTAGATTGTTAGCTGGTATTAATTATTGTAGTTTCAGCATCTACAATATTAAAACCCTCCCTACCTCTTCACAGCAGCGTCTGCTTACAATAGCCCTGTAGTCAATTCTACTCCATAGTTGATCTCTTAACTTTAAGAAATCAGGGAAGAGCTTTCTCCAGGCTTTTCCCAAGGCCCATGGGAAAATGTCATACTTTGATTCTTCATCATCTTCTTCAACTGTATTTGCCAGATACCTTCAAATATATATATATGTTTGTGTCTGTAAATGTTGTTCAATCTTAAATCACTATATTAGTATGATTTCTAACAATAAAAGACATAATATTGAAGTAGTTCTTTCTCCTAGTATTGTGAGAAAAACGGCTAACAAAATACAGCCTTCTCTCTGGAGTACAGTATTTTCTTAATCAGAAAGTTCCATATGTATCCTTTGGGTAAATAAAATCTTAACTTAAGCTATTATAAAAATTGCTTTACCCTAGAGGCTCCTAAATTAGTAGATATGCAAGAACTAACATATCCTGACAGCTTTATCCAAACTGGCAAGATATCCTAGCACTAAAATAAACAGTTTCTGACTGATTCTCTAAATAATACTTAAAACTATCTTACGAAATGTTAAACTTTACGAGGATTTTAACTGTTCTTGGAAAATTATGTTGCTCACATTAAATTAGCAGCAAACAACTAAATACAGGTCTACTTTCATATATAAATGAAAACCTTAAATTATTGTCTTCATGTCCATATTTCTGCCTTCCTTCACTATGTGCTACTTCTGGTTCTGGTTGTTTTCTCAGACAACAGCAAAATATTTACTTCCTCTGGATCTACCTGATACTAAACTGCTGTAAATCATACCTGAAAAAATTACAACTTCTAGTCTCCTCCTGAATTTTCTCACTTGTTCCTAACCTCAATATTCCTGCTGGTCCCAGTCTCGCCAGACCCTTTGTCCCTTTCTAATCCTGTCACTCTTCTGGCCTGGCTTTTCTCCCTTCGGTATGGGGACAGATGGCCTTCTCCTCCATGCTCTATGGATACTACCCAGAATACCATTTACAGCAGAAGAAACAGCCATCTTTCTCCCCGCCTGAGTGTGCAAATCAGAGTACCTGAGAAGTACTATTATGGAAAAAGATGACCCGAGCAATATAACACTACGAAAGAAAATGCTAAATCACTCTGTATGTATAGCCAAATATGGAGAGGCTTGGTAAAGACAGATTACTGATTGCACCTGTTTCAAAGTATAGAAATTTTAGAACTGTTCAAAAAAGTTCTCAAAAATGCTCTAGCAACATTTTTACAGTTGACTTAAATCACGTTGAGAGAAACTTTAATTAAAAGTTACTCCCGAGGTGCCTATCGTGAGGAAACATTTTGGTACAAATGACTTAAAGGCTGGCAAAGATATAATAAAATAGGGTCTTGTAACAGGAAGTGAGAGCCATGTATATGTTGCCATGTATTGTCCTGCATGCATTACTTGTAATGCTTAAAAAAGTTCACAGATTCAGTTTGGTAGGCAGAATGCTATGCTGTATATCACTACACCAATGCAAACATCCCCTCGCTGCTGCTCCAGCTTGTTCCACACTGGTGGTCATCACAGAAAGAATGTTGGATTTGCACTGTTTATATATAGTCTGTACATTATGTTTCTGTATTTCATATAGAACCCAAACAACTACACACTCATTAAAGAAGTCGCATCATGTATCATAATTATCAGTGGCATAAACAATGCAAAGTTTATGCTAATAAAACCAGATAATTTAAAAGTACTTACAGAGCGACAAAGAAATTGATTCTGGTATGCTCATTTACTGTGAAGTTAGCCCTCTTGAAATAAACGAAAGTCATTGCCAAGAGATACTGTTGAAATGTAAAATGCAGTATCAATATATTATTTCAGTATATAATTTCCTAAAATGCTTTGCACATTTATCTTACACCAAGATATTTTGATCATTTTTATCAATGAGTGTTGTGATTTAACCCCAGCCAGCAAATAAGCACCACGCAGCTGCTCACTCCCTCCCCCCCCCCCCAGTGGGATGGGGGAGAAAATTGGGAAAAGAAGTAAAACTCATGGGTTGAGATAATGGTTTAATAGAGCAGAAAAGAAGAAACTAATAATGATAATGATAACACTAATAAAATGACAGCAGTAATAATAAAAGAATTGGAATATACAAATTATGCACAATGCAATTGCTCTCCACCCGCCAATCGATGCCCAGTTAATCCCCGAGTGGCGATTCCCCCCACCCCTACTCCCCCCAGTTTATATACTGGGCATGATGTCACATGGTATGGAATACCCCTTTGGCCAGTTTGGGTCAGGTGCCCTAGCTGTGTCCCCTCCCAACTTCTTGTGCCCCTCCAGTCTTCTCGCTGGCTGAGCATGAGAAGCTGAAAAATCCTTGACTTTAGACTAAACACTACTTAGCAACAACTGAAAACATCAGTGTGTTATCAACATTCTTCTCATACTGAATCAAAAACATTCCACTATACCAGCTACTAGGAACACAATCAACTCTATCCCAGCTGAAACTAGGACAATGAGGAAAGCATAAATTGAGTTTCTTGATGCTTCCATATGAGCACATTAGAAAAAAATTATGGTCTGTATTTGCATTACAGTATCAAGTGATTAAGGGCAGATTTTTGACTCAATATAGGTTCTATTAACTAAGAAGGAAATATGCTTACCTTGTCCGCAATTCTACAGCAACAGTCCATCCAAAGGAAGTCTTGGATTAGATCATCATCTGCAACAAAAGAAAGTTGCAGCATTTCAAACACCAAAATTGTTTTTGTTAGAAAGTATTTGTAAATAAATAACAGAAGGTCCTTTTATTAAACGAAATAAAAGGAAGAAGCTAGACCCACCAGTAGAGAACAGAGAAACTGAGGGGAGAAAGAGATTAGGTATGAAAAAACTTAAGCAGCAAAAGAAGACAAACTACCAGAAAGGCGAGGTGGAAAATTTAGTGACTGCATCTCATTCATTCTCAGTAATAGCAAGTGAAGGTGAAAAATCACCAGTATTTTTTCTATTTATGTAATTTCTTCCCGCAGTAAGTGGCTCCATCTAACAGCATACCTTTATTTCTGATGAACTATAGACTGTTGAGATCTCTGCGCCTTGATTACCTGACAGCCTTTATAAGGCAATACTTGCTTGATTATTTGTGGTCAGTGCATCACTGTCTGTGAACATGCACTATAATACGATTACTGCAGACTCTCTCTGATTCACTTCTGTATTCGAGGTTCAAGTGAAAACCAAGTGTAATCTTCCACTATTAGTTAATCTCTTCACTAAATTAAATAAATACAAAACTTTACATGAAAGAGGCAAATGCAAAAGAGATGCTACAACTCCTCAGATTTTCTTTCCATTCCACTTCTCCCCCTAAATGTTTATTCCCACAATAAATAACATGTACATAAGAGTGGGAGTCCAGCCTTTTTTAAGCCTTGTGTGAAACAAGATGTACATTGGTTTACATGCATTTGTTGAAATACCAGAGAAAATAGAAAGGAAAGAGAAATAATCATAAAAGAAAGTATCATACCACGTTGGTTTCATTTGTAATTTAAAAAGATACTTTTCATCAGTTTGGTAGCCCTTCTTGTATTTTTACCTTAAGCATTAAATATTCATACACTAAAATGTAACAACAAAATACATTTAGACAAAGACATGGCCATTAGTATCCATATAAAAAGCACTCCCAAAATTATTGAGTTTAGAAAACATACTTGCTCAATAGTTTTCTACTGTTCAGTCAATACATTGATATCTGTCATTATTAACCTACCAAATAATTTAAAGAAAGCTGTCATTTCCTGACGCTGAATAACTAGACATGGTCCCTTTGGACATTTGTATTTATGACTAGGAACCTTTTTTTCACAATTTTCTTCATGGTCTTTAAAAGTAGGCCGCTTTAGTCTAATAAGGCTTTTTTGCTGATGTGATCTGGATGCACTTGATTTTACATGAACCGTGACAGTAGGAGGTGTCTGACACACCAGATTGTGTCTCATTTTGGTAAGTAAAGGTTCCTGTTAAAAAAGAAGAAGAAATTAACTACAAAAATAGTCAGTTTGAGCAGTAGTTCTCTATATATCTTTTGTTCAAATGAAGCATTTCAGTAGAGCTTGTACGTCAGGCGATACAAAAATTAATTGTATCAGTACTAATTAGCTAAGTCTGATGCCCTAAGCCAACTATGTAGCTTTCTTTAATTTAGTCCTAATTTGATAAAGCTCTTTCAATGGAAGGAGCCTTCAATCTTTCTTTTTCCATTTAAGATTTTGAAAAATGAAAAAATCCTTTCCAGAAAAAGTTGCTGTTTGTCAGATTCTCGTAGCCCTACACCCTTACTTAGATCTACCAGAAAATCTCCATTTCTCCTCTCCAATTTGTGATTGCATATTTTAAAAGAGCATTAGTAGAATTAATGCAACAGAACCATATTTAAGCCATGTAACATTAAAATCAAGGTCTCAAGCTCTTAATTTTTATAACACCTGGTTATAGCCATTGGGAATAAAACGTATCCCTCAAGTAGGACATACCCAGAAGGCATAACCAAGGAAACAAACCTGAAGTGTTTGTATCCGTAAAAATCAAGTGGAGTGCGAGAAAAGGTATTTTTAAACGGGAGCAAATGCATTTACTTCTTCAGCAGGTCCCTCGACGGAGCGTAGGGCTGCCTGAGGCAGACTCACGGCAGCCTACCTGGCTCTCCAGCTCTTAAACAACAAAAAAGCTCCTCATATGTGGCCGTGATGACGCTGTTTTGGTGCCCAGCAGGTAAGCTTGGACCCCCGGCGGCCCGGGACGGCCCCTCGCCCCCGGCCCAACCCCCGCTCCCCTCAGCAGCCTTCCACCCGCGCCATAGCCCTCCCGCCGCGCAGCTCGAGATGGCGCCTCTCGCGGCCAATGAGAGCGCGCGAAGCAGCCGCCTCGGCCAATCGGACGGCGGGGCACGCTTACCTCCCCGGGCAGCGCGGCTCCCGCGGAGCCCGCCCAGGGCCCGCAAGCCAATCAGAGAAGGGCACGGCTGTTGCTAGGCTGGCGGGCAGGTGTAACCCTGCCGCCGTAGGACGCCCTTCACGGTCAGCGGGAAGAACCGACGAGGAGCGTCCTGAGGTGCGCGGAGCGTGGCACGCTGACTTCGTGGGTCGAGACAGCTCTAAGCTAATGTCGTAACTCCGTGCGATGACGCGACCCTCGTCAGGCACCCGGCGGGTGCCCGCAGAGGGCCGGGCCGCGGGGCCCCGGGGGTGTCTCATGTCATCGCTTTCCCACGCAAGACGCGGTGAGCCCCGAAACCGGCGTGGCCGGTCCCTCCGGGTGTAGCCGACAGCGGGACACGTCTCTTCTTTCCCCGGTGCCGCTTCACCCTCGCGTCCCGAGGGAGCCTTTGGTGCGAGCGGGTCCGCTGCCGCCGCCGGCCGGGCGTGAGGGGAGAGCGGGGGGGAAGGGGAGGCGGCTGCCGCTGTGGTGGTCGCCGCTCTTTCCCCTCGGCTGCTCCCGGCGCGTTTCGAGTTTAATCTCTCAGCTGCCCAACAACGTTGTAAAAGCTCCCTTAAAACATCTCCCTGGGGTGGGGGGGGAGGCATAGCTAACCTTAAATGTCATTAAAAATACAGGTGCGATATACACCCTGCTGTTACTCTTCCACAGAAGCCTTTCATGCATGTGGTAGTATGCAATTAGTCTAAGGCAGTCTCTTGAAATGTAGTAACAAGAATGAAAAAACTCCCTTCGGTAGTGAGATTCAGCATGAAACCTTACCGTTGTCTTTTGTTACAGAGCTAAAAGATTTACTCTAGGAAGATGGCAAGAAATACATCCGATTTTACTGCTTCCCCCTGTACAAGCCAATTAAAGTGTAACCAGTCTTATTTGTTATGGTAATGAGAAGAGAGGCCTTTTCACTCCTTCCTCATCTTTTATTCATAATTTGTAGGTATCTTTATTTAGGTGCTCTGAGTTAGTGAGCATATTCAGGGAAAGATCGTATCAAGTTTCTGATCATGTACTCTTCTAGAGAAAGAAAAAACATATCAAGCTATAAATGTACAAATTAACAACATCTCTGTATGGAATAGGCTGAAATCAGGAAACTTGGTGGCGTGGTGGAGATAATACCAAATACATCAGTTGGGCAAAAGTCTGTTTCTTTAAGGTTCTCTCTTCACATACATGTGTTCAGGTTGAGTTACCCTGCACTAAATTGTTCTTTATTTTTGCATAATACTTTTCAGCTAAGGAGCTCAAAGTACTCTTCAGTTCATTACCATTCATTTGATAACTGTGGAAAACAAAGAAAGGATAAGTTACAGAAACTTCCACATAATCATCTAAACCATTCAGACTAGGAAGCAAGCTTCTGTCATTTTTTTTGCCCTACTGCAAAATATAAAACTACATTGATAATTGTGAAGAGCATGCTTTCTTCTTTACACCTTCACATTTGTATTCCTTGGCTTATCAATAAAAAGTGGCTTACAATGTAGATCTTTATCTACAGAGTGCTTTCCAGGGTTGTTTTTTTTTCCTGTAACTCTCCCCTTTCTAAAATATTTTTTTGAGCTGGTGGTTCTGCAACAAAATATTAAAATACTTTTTTTTTCTTTTCAGTCTCAAAAATCTCTTACAATCAAGTTATTCAACAGGTATTGTGACTCTCTAGTCCCTGCTGTACTGTCCCCTACCTCCCAGGACCCAGGGCTCTGCTCTGATACAGACCAGCTGCATAACCTCAGCTCAGACTCTGAGGAAACTGAAGTGGTGAGAAAAGGCTGTGAGAAAGTCTGCAACTTCACCTTTACTTCCTTGCAGGACTCTGCAGCCTGAGGTAGGATTGTTGAGATGGGGGTGGCTCAAGGATTCAACTTGGAAACATCATGGAAAAACATCAACGTGGAAAGGTTGATGCCTGAACACAGTTACAATAAGGAAACAGAACTGTACCTGACTCTAAATCCTCTGCATGATATAGTGGACTTAACCGGTTCTCAAAGTTGCTTATTATTAACTACAGTTTTTAGAAGGTTGTTTCCAAGAATATCCGGAAGAATGTAGCATTCTGATTTCCAAGTAACTTCTTGGACATCAGGGGGCACTGTTTCACCACCAGCAATTTAAACTGAGACAATGCAGCATTTGGATAGTATAATACACTGGATTTCGTGTTGTACTTAATTCCTAATCCTTCCTATAGGTGGACATTAAATCAGTGTAGCTACTCTTCATCTTTATATGTTATCACAGTTTGAACTGATTTTTATATATATATATATATATAAAAAAAATGAATAAGACTTGGGTTTGAAAGACCTGGGATTCTTAAAATTCTTAGTTTTGAAAAAAAAAAAGATTTCCATAAATGCACTGGAACTTAATTATGTGAGATATATAGCTACATAGGTACCCAGTAGCTAGGTCCAAAAAGGCAGGTGCAGAGCAGTTTGCTTCCTCTAAATGAAAACAAAAATTTTAGTGACTGAGTTGTTTACAGATAGATTAAGAAGCATCACTGAAGAAAAACACAGGGCTGGTATTTTAATAAATTATATTTAGGATATATGTACTTTTTTTTTTTTTAATATTTGTGAGGTAGGAAAACAAATGCCTTTGGCCTCTGATATCCTTCCCAGTGAACTTTCCAGTGAAAGATAAAGTACCATAGTAAGAACACCTGGTATTTCTTTTCAAAGTCATGAAGAAGCAGCATTGATTCTTTTAAATAGAGATCATTGTTCAGAATAAAATACTTATTTCTCAAGTATAGACTTTCCCTACTTACTGCAGAGTGTGAAATACAGGATGAAAAAAGTCTCTCTTCCCTGTAGAGATGACTCCTGACCTTTTCGGGGAGAACCCAGCCTCTCGATCAAATATGTTCTAGATGAAATGCATGCAGGCTGAGAGCTCAGTTCCTAAAGACTATAACGAAACTGAAGCATTCATCTAAAAAGCCAACTTTGGACGTGTGGTTAACTCAGAATAAAGGGTATAGCAAGTCACACAAGTTTCAGTAAATTAAAAAGGAACAGATAAACCACCTGAAGCCACATCTATCACCAGAAACCTGTTTTTTACGTGGGAAGAGAAAGTAAGGATTTAGATGAGTTGTGTGAAACAAATCATTATGGCATCATGGTGCCTGGGCTAGGACTAAGCATAACAGACTGAATATGCCTTACCTGTTTGCTACTTGAGGTAGTAAGTAAGGATACTGGAAGGGTGCCTTACAGCTAAATCCTTGCTTGTGACAAATGTATGATTAGAACTACAAATGGTCCAGTGCCACTTAAGTGTATGTCATTGATGGATGGACAGGAAAATTGTTTTCAGCTTTGTTCACTTCAAAAGAGCTTCTAAGCATACAGCAGAGTTTTCTAAGTCTAAGAACAGCTGTAGTTATTCTCAGGTACTGAGAAATTCAGGACCTAGAAGAAAAAAATCACTTGGAAATTATGTAGTGAACAAGAAGGGTACTGACTAGACTAACACAGCAAATGGTAAAAGAATGTCAAGGCTGCCAGCAAACACAGTGCATGCTTAAACTTGCTGCTTCTGCATACTTCAAAACAGCCATGTGCTCTGCAGCAGCAAATCTCCATAAAGTACTGGGGACATAAGTTTGAACTTGCTGTTCATTTCCACTGTAAATAGACCGATACATCCTGTATGAACTCAACTAATTCAAAGCAGAGAGTGGAAGCCTTTAAGATTTATTTTTAAGCATTGGCACTGCTGTGCTGGTTGTAAGTGAAACAAAGTAGTCTTATCTGAAGAGTTCCAATTACTTTTGTCAAAATAAATAGACGCGATAGACTACATTAGGTCTTCACCATCATGTGACAAAATGGCAAGTGATGAATGATGTATTTCTCAACATCAGTAACTCAAAACTCTGAATGCATATTTTATGCTAAAGGGAAAGGAGATTAACTGTACAGCACCCCTTTAAGTGTTTTTTTTTAAACTTCTGACATCATCCACCATATTCTAACTTTTTAAAGCC